GTCCCTCACAGCCTCACTGATACCTGGAAGTAAGTAAGCGCGCCCTGTGCTCTCCAACACCCTCTTTCTCTTTGTAGCTCTTTTACATCTGTTTCCACAGTTTTTCAGCCTGTTGTTTCCTCTTTCCACCCTTCCGCTCCTCTCTTGTCCTTTTGCATGCCGGGTGATGCGAAATCAGCTAATACAGCGAGCAATCCAACAACTGAATGAACGTTGTTCTCTTGAAGATCGTATTCGATTCCCCTGCTGACGACATGCCTGCACGCACACACATGTGTGTGTATCCTTCACACTTTCTTTTCTTTTGTCTCTCAGTGCTGTTCGCGCTTGTATGCTGCACATCTTCATAACCTCACACGAGTCTTTACCCCACGCTCCCTTTGAGTGCAGGCGAATGTGATGCAGTGGCACCTTGTCACATCACTGGGACAGGCTTCAAGCTCGAAAAAGAAGCATGAACGATCACAAGAACATGAGGACACGGCAGCGCCGTGCCGCTCCTTTGATTTCCTTGCTCACTTACGGCACAACAGGACACGCGACACACGCTCGCTTTGCGACATTGCGTGCGCGTGACTTGCTTTATGTAACCTTTTCTTTCAACCCTGAGCAATGATCGCTCGACAGTCACACTGCCTCGTGACTTATGCATCTAACTCTTCCTTGAAGTTATGTTACATTACCTTAACATAAGCCAGTAAAACCACCAGAAGAGAAGCACAGATCAAACAAGGCACGCCCACCAAGCAAACCACAACAACCTACCCGACAAGCAGCCGAGAACCGAGGTGCTTTGTTCAAACAAGCCCAGCGCAATCTCACTCGCGCGCACGCGCTCTCCCATGCACACAAACAGACCAACACACACGCACCACCATCCGACCAGCGACAAGCTGGACCAACACGTGTCAACGTCGCCAGCCAAGCGATCGAAGAAGCAAAACACAGCAAACCCACACAAACAGGTCCCCACTCCATCGTGGAAGATTTGCGGTCCTGTTGAAGATTTGTCGTCCTGTTGGTCAACATTCACCCCCACCCTTGCCTTGAAGTGCTGTGAACCTTCGTGGCCAACAGAGAAACACCCTCAAGCCAGAAAACAACTCGCCGAAGCTCCGAAGAGCAGCTGAGAGAGTACGCACTTGCGCAGAGCGCGCGGTTCATTTTCCTCCCAGCATTTGCTTGCAGGCAACACCACACAGACCCCACGCGTGCCACCGTTCGAGCGAGGCAGACCCTTTCCCAACACACATTGACTGGTGAGTGAGCACGCTCTAACTGAGCGAAGCAGTGCAAATTTCGAGAGGAGTTTGTTCGAGTTCCACGAAGGACATTGCTCCAGCCTGTTGGCTTCCCTCCTTCCTTTGTCCTCCCTCCTCCCTTCTTCCTCCCTTCTTCCTCCCTTCTTCCTCCCTTCTTCTCCTTCCGCGCTTCCACGCTGTTGCGTGCGTGTGTGCGTGTGTGCGTGTGCGAGTGTGTGTCAGATGAGGACAATAGCGAAATTATCATGAACAATCCAACCCCGACGCACAAGAGACATGCACGCAGTCGTGCCAGTGCGGTGACGATTGTCTTTCGCCTTACCCATTGCCGATGATACACACGCACGTGTACTACACGTACACGCGCACTTTGTTGACATCAGTCCCCCTTCCCCCTCTTTCCTTTCTCCAAGCTACTTCAGGGTTGCTTGTTCCTCTTTCTTCTTGATATCCAGGACAATGTGCCCATTTCCAATGAACTCACACACACACACACACACACACACACACACACACACACACACACACACACACACACACACACACACACACACACGACGACGACGACGACACGACCTTGATCTCGCCGGTCTTGAGGGCGTGGACGAGAGCGTCCTGGTCGACACACGCGCCGCGGGCCGTGTTGACGATGATGGCGCTGTTCTTCATCTTCTTGAACGTC